AAATACCAGATGCATCATAATAATAACTGTTAGAGATTTCTTTTGAATACGATCGAAATCATCGTTTTCTGCATAGTAATAGAGGGTAGATGTTGTTGATCCCATTTTTTGTTTTCTTGTTTGAAACAAGCTTGTTGTCATGTTACTTTCAATTAGATTCGAAACGTGATCCATTCCAAAATTCTGAACGTGATTCATTACAAAGAAATCCGAAACGTGATTCATCAACACCTTAAAAACAAATGGTGTGATTCAAAAAGAACCTGCCAAGAATTATTTTGAACACTTATTCAGGGGCCTTATTGATCCAAAAAAACAATTTCTCGGAAGTGAAACTATTCCAAACAATCACGATGAAGAGAATAGAATTCAGTTGGTTATCTTTACAATAGATGTTGCCCATGTCAAATCAATTGAAGAATTCAAGAAAATTTTGGCTGGAAAAATCGACAATGTGTTGAACTTCATTCAATTAGAATAATGTTTGTGATAACCAAATTTGACAATTATTCCAGTCGTTATTTGGGTTTTGAAGGAGTTATCTTGAATTGGAAGGGATCCACCTTCGAAACAGTTAAAGATGAAGGTCAGTTGTTAGCAGGGCTTTCAGAGAGTCCAGAATTTGAAGAAATCCAGAAATTAATTACCTCAACATTCAAGAATGGAGTTGTTTTTCCAATGGTCAGCACCAGTGATGAAAATGAGAAGAAGTTTAAGGTCGATGAAGGTGGAACTCTAAAAACAATTCAAAAGAATATGGCACTCCGTATCTTGTCCTATGCTGTTGATCTTGGCATTACCGCTTCTAAATGGCAAAGTCGTAAAATGAACCTTACCTTAATAAACACTTAAAGCGAAGCACCCCAACACAAGACGTGATGCAGTTGATGACCAGCATATTGCAAGTGTAGTCCACATTCCATTTCATGAAACCATGCTGTTAGTTATTCTATGGAGAGTATTGAGCACATCCTGATTGTGTCACTACAGCTTATCTTATACTCGTCATTTCCAAGGTCTCCTTCCATGGATAGTACAATGATTTGTGTACATCAACTAGAAACATTCCAGAATTATACAACTTGCGAAAAAGAATTTCGCGCCTTAAAAAAAATATAACGACTCTCTTAATGATGAAGAGATTTTAACCATTTCCTATGGAGATTCAAATGGTGATGCAACAAGAGATTAGTGGATCCATTCCATACAGATTATTTAATGTTAAGATCAGCAATTCAACGAATTGGTTAAATTATAACGATTCATCCCCAGAGAATTTCTTGTAATTTACCTCTGAAGAATTCAAGCAAAATCCACTATTCCGAATCCACACCTGTTATTCCAATAATGAGCATGCTACTATTATTATTCAAGGATGCATTGTTGTGGCGTATCCTTGTCCTAAGAGTGGAGTACTTGGGTAATAGACAGTGTTATAGTTGGTTTTTAGTTGGCTATGTTCCGTCTAAACCCCATCCACAACCCTACTATCACCGACTACAACCCTAATTTTCCCCAACTTGTTTCCGAAAACAACTGAACGATTTTCCAGAAATTAATCGAATATCAGCCCATACTCTCCTGACCGTTTTAGTTCAGTGTTAGTTGGTTGGTAGTCGGTTGATTGTTGGGTAAAGGAATGAAATTGGTGGGTAACTATTCAATAAATATTCAGTAACCATTCAGTTATTATATGGTAAACATTCAGTGACTATTCGGTGAACATTCAGTTTCTATGCGGCTTTTAGTGTGTTGGTATTTGACTGAAAGTTTCCCTTAATTTACTCTGTTGACCATTACAATTTTCATAATTTGAGTAAAACTGATTTATTTATTTACAATTGTTGTGCTTCTTCTGAGTCTGATTGACCATTATCTGAATAAAGATCTGCACCATCTGATTCCATATCAAGCAAATTAATTGCGTCTGCTGAAGGTTGTGTTGCTCTTGTGTCAGGTTTTTTGATCCAATCTTTAACAAGTGTTAAAAAAACAACTTGTTCATCTTCTGCAACATAGCTCTGCAATGAAGAGAATTGACCATTGTTGGCTCTGACATGTTCTCTTGTTGGTGAAGAGGTAGAAGGTTGAATAGCTGTTGCTTGAATTGAGGATGGAACCCCTTCTATATTAGAAACTTCTACATTGGAATTCTTCTTTCTTTTTGGCTTCTCTTTTTTCTTTAATTCTATTAGACTCTTTCTTTTAAAAGAACTCCACAGATTGCTGAATATCTTACTGACATAACAATAGCTCTAATTAATTGTTGGAAAATAATTAATAAATAATTTAAGGATAAACTTCACTTACATACTTTGCACGTATTTATATGTATCCGTTGACAATCCATTAACATGTTTTCTGAACAATGTTTCACCAAAAGTTAATTGCAGACAATCTTTACATGAACTCATGGCAGTATCATTTTGGGGAATCCCTTTTCGCTTACAGTAAATTCGAATACATTGCATAACTTCTCTTTTTAGTCTATATAAAATCAAATAAATAACTAACAATTTGCTTACTTACGCTCGTTGAGTATCCTTCCATCCCACTGCAGCCTTGGGATAACAGTCAGCCAACTTTTCATATGTGGCTTCTGGTAAACATGTTATGGTTAATTTAGTCTTCTTCTTTGTTATTAGAATAATTTATGTTGAATAAATGGTGCTAAACTACTTACTTTTACTGATGGTGATGATGCTGAAATGATGTAAAATTGGCAGTTGATGGAAAAGTTACAAGGTTGATGTGGAAGTACTTACCTGGCATTTATTGTGTTTTTTTTGATTCGAATTTTCAGTCGAAAGCCAGTTTTTAGACGAAAAAAAATGTCTTTACAAAATAACAAGGAACAAGGTATCTATTTTGAAAGACGCTGTGATTCTTGCAAGAAATCTTTACACACAGTATTTTACCAACCAATTTCAAGTGCAAAATTCAAGATTCAAATTAAATGTAACTGTGAAAACTCTGAGTGTAAAAATTTTACTAAGGAAAAACTTGGATGTTGTTTATGTGATTATAGTTGTGTCAAATCTGAAACGTTGTTGAAACATATTACAAAAGAACATTCCATCAAGTTTCCAAAAGTGTGTTGTGATAAACATTACACCACAATGGAGGAATATGTTGATCATATCAATTTTAAACATCATACATTGGAGTGTGGAGGTTTTGAATCAACATGGACACCAATTGATAAAAATACAGAGCTAACAGATATTAAGTGGAAAATCTCACAAATTCAAAATGATACTGATATCAATTTGAAAGATGTCAATCCTTATGAAGATATTGAAGATTTAGTTTTAGAAAATTTTTCTGTCAACAACCCATACAAAGTAACTGATCCTTCAAATAAGTTTGCTCCATTCGCTAATGAATTAGAATGGCATAGTTTCATGATGTTGAAATCCAAACAGTTTACAAAAGAACAATACAATTATACAACTGAAATACTGAAATTATGTGGTCAAGAATGTCTTTCATACGATCAAATTCAAACCAGATGTAAATATTTCAAAACTCAACAACCAATAATTGATGAAAATGATACTGAACAGGACCAATATGTATACTATGGTGTTGTAAATTGTATCAAATATTTATATGCAGATCCTTTTATTGCAAAAAAGATACATAATGGTAATAAGCCAGAGGATTTAACAAAAGAACCATTATTCGATTATGAACCATACGCATCAAAAGGATTTCAAGAATTGAAAAAGAAATGTTCATCAGACGAAACACCAATTGTCATTATGTATTATATTGATGAATTTAGAAAACATAGAACAGGTACAGACAAAACAGCAGGATTATATTTCACCTTATTGAATTTTAATCGAAGCTTTCTTACTTCGAATATGGAATCAATTTCATTACTAGGAAATTCAAAAACAAATATTTCCCAATTCAAATTAGCAACAAAACTAGTTGAAGAGTTGAATGAAATTAATGGAAAATCAATTGATGTTTATAACTCTTACACTGATTCAATTGAAAAGATTCGAATTCTAATAGGTCCTTGGATTTGGGATTCTGTACAAAGATGGCTATCATTATTTCTTGAAAGCTATACATGTTCTAAATGTAAATGCCCAAAAGGAGATTATTGTAAATGTCCTAATGACATTTCAACACCTTTAGTCTATCCTTTAAGAACTGTTACTGAAGCAATTGAAATGCAACAAAAATTATCAATTGGTACCTCATGTAATGGCTACAAGTTTATTACAGTCGCTGATATTCAAATCAAAGATATGCAGATTGATTCCAAGTCCAAAAAATCCAAACAGGTAAAAGAAAAAGTTCGACAAAGTAACAATACTCAAATGAAGTGTCCGTTTTTACAAATTAAGGATTGTGATATTTTTGAAAATTCAACTGTTGAATTAATGCATGGTTCTATTCAAGGTGATTTAAGGAGACACCTTAAAAAATTTTTCAAATATTTCAATTACACCAACATTTTAAGTGATTTTCAGTCTGTTATGGACAAGTATACAAACAATCATGGTAAACCTTTGAAAATGATTGCAAAAGATTACAATGATTGTTCAGCAGATCATTTTTTGGAATTCGTGGTTTTTAGTTGCCCAATTATGTATGATTTTCTTATTAATAATAAGAATCACTGTGATGTTTCATTCAGTTTGAAGAAGAAACATATAATATGTTGGTCAAATCACGTAGAATACGTACTTTCTTTGATTCAAGATTTGGTTTCACCTTCAAATATTGAAATTGCAAAATTGAAACATTTCAATTTCAGGAAACAAGTCATTTCCCTATATGGTAATGGTAATTTTACAAATCCTAATTTTCATTGGAATTCTCATATTTTTGAAGATTGTTTGAAGTGGGGAAATGCCAGGTTCTTCTGGGCATTGCTTTTTGAATTGAAACACAAAGTTTTCAAACAATTTAATGACTCTTCCAATCACAAAAATTTAGAACAACGAGGAGCGAATTTTGAAAAACTTCAAAAACAAATTAACATCAATTATCCTTGGGTAAGAAATCAATCTGAAAACAAGAAATGGATTCCAATTGTACAAAACAAAGAATTTATTTTATTTAAGGCAAAGGATGGTTCCTTACTTGTTGGTCAATTTGTTGAGGTTAAAGAGCAAAGAGTATATTTCACCAACATCAAAAAGTGTCTCTCTTCGGTTCATCCAATTATTGGATATAGATTAATTGATTCAAACATTCATGTAACAACAGGCTATGTTGCACTAAATCAAATAATTGGTAAATGTTTGATTCATAATATTGCTGGCAAAGAAATGTTCAACCAATACTCGTTTTTCATGAATTTCCATAAAGTTAAATTTTAAAAATAGAACTTTTATTAATTTTTGGCTTTGAAGGTGTATTCAACAGCTTCCGACTACCCGCACTACCATCCGGCTGTAACCGGCTACCGGCTACACCACCAACTACATCCACTCTTAGGGTTATTTTCTTGTTGATTGGACGAAACAAGAACATTACCAAAGATAAGATTTGCAATCTGGAAGAAAAAATTACAACAGCCTGGAGTTTTTATAATTCCAAAGTCTCTCCTTCATATATGGCAATTGATCATTTACCTTACTGTTGAACTCTAATGGAAACTCACCAAATGTTTTCGAAACTCTTTGAGAATCTTTCCTAACTTTTAAGTTTATAGTACTTGATATCAAAGATCGTCTGATGAAAATGTAAATTAACGATAACAATGGACGGATTAATACATTTCTCAATATGGGAAATGTCACAATTTGGAATTGAGTAATGGTTTGGCATTTGAAAGGATTCGCTTTGGTTACTCGAACCAAAGATGTCCACAACAATGGTGGAAATCAGCATCGAGTGGATGAAATCTTCCATCAAAATTTTGAGGATTTCACGAAGTGGCATGTCAGTTGTTTTTTTTCAAAGTCACCTGCCAAAAATCTGACATACAAGGTTAAAATCTAATCGAAAAATTGATAATTCTTAACTCTATAATTTCCATTTCTTTCAATATTGAATTTTTTCAAAGAGATTTTGGACTCTTGCACCAATTTTAATAATTAAAATTCCATATTTAGAAATTTAGTAGAGATTATTCTAAAAAGTTGTAACAAACTGTCGAGTTTGGGTAACAATTCTCAATATATTTTCATTCTTCATTGTTAATTTCCTGAAAATTATTTACAACATCTCTTTGCCTTTCTGACATTCTTCTAGTTTCGTAAAGCGCAAGTTCACATTAATATTTGTATTTTAATGAAGAATCTACTGATTTTATTTGCTCACTACATTAAAATCAGTAATTTTCTATTCAATTTTTGGAATTTGGTGGATTATTCGCATTGCTGTTGGTTCATACAAAATAGAAATATGCCACTAATCAAATACTTTACAGAAATACCTCTACAGCTGTCAATTGTTTTGATGCACTTTGATTTTGCCACTTAAATACAAATGAAGCATTCAGACGAAATGGGTCGTTGTCCTCACTAAACTATTCGATAGTGTTCAACACAACTGAAATATTCGAAACCCTAGATATCACTTTACAATAAAAAATACCTCAAATAAATCCAAAATACAATAAAAAGAGACTTGAGTACAAACACTCTTTCGAATATTCCTTCTCCATGAAAAAGCGGAGCAACAATTTCATTATTCGAAAGTGTCTAAAACCAAAAATAGAAATAAAGATTTCATTTCTGATCATACGATCCATTATTGAACATCAACCTATTCAACGGACATTACAAAGATATCCAGATTAAACTTACAATGACCATTTTACTTCATTATTCGACTAATTGAACATCTTGACATCAGTCACAGATCACAATTAAATAACATTAAATATACATCATCTATACAGTCTTTTAACTCTAACTCATACAAAAAAAACAAATCTACAACTCAATCATGCAAGAATCAACTTCAGTGTCAGCTGACAGTTCCATGCAAAAAGCAATCGAAGAATTGAATGGAATAGACGTTCATAATTGTGATTATTACTTGACTCCAACAAATTTTACAGCAGGTGATGCTTCTTCATCCTTTTCTAGCTCGAGTCATTCTATGGATCATCTTGTCAAGGAAAAATGTCAAACGCCAACAACTCCAACCAGTCCAAAACCAAAAGCAAATTTTGCAACAGAGCCAGCAGCTTCTACCATCATTAAAGAGTCTAAAAAGAAGAGTTCTGTTGCTTCCCATAAGAAATCTGGAACTGGATCTAGGACAAGTCACTCGTCAAATTCTTTATTTGCCATCAGAATGTGTTGTGGAACTACCCTCAAGCTGTCATCCTTCAAGCTTGTCAATTTGACTAGTTTAACTGCTAATCTACTTGGTTTCATCGCATTACTCACTGTCATTATTGTTGGCTACGTTGGCAGCAATAATTTATTGACATCAATTTCAAATATGGATCTTGACACTTCCTATTATAGAGACATGATGGTTTACACATGTCGTTCAGCAGTCTATGCCAATAACAACAAGACAGTTGCTCTTGGCTATGCCAATCTCTATGGAAATTACTCAACCAAGTTCAATACTGAAATTAATAACATGTTGGCATACATGCCAAATGAATTGAGATATTCTGTCAAACATAATATAACAATTTATGATATGAAGACAGTGAAGGCTATGAGTGTTGAGAGACAAGCTATTAGTATGGTCAAAGCTGGAAACTTTACAGCTGCCATGAATTTAATTGGCTCTGACACCTATCAAGATTATTTACCTTGGTATGAAGTGGAATTCAAGCCTTCTGTTGATTATTTTAAGGCTTTGGAGGTTAGCTATAGAGATTTCTCAACTACCATGACCACTTTGCAATTAATTATTGTCTGTGTGTCAATTGTCATTGTTATTCCAGTAGTCATCATGTCACTTGCCTTTTCCATGAATTCTGACAATGCCAACAATAAGAGATTGAAGAAAGCAAACGCCTACATGCTTATGGACACCATGAGAGATAACAAACTTAGAAAATTATTCAAAGAATATTGTAAACAAGAAATGAGCTTGGAAAATTACTTGTTACTTGACAAGATTACAGATTACAAGATTTTATGTGAGAAATCATTTGAAATTCAAGTATTCTTGTATGATGATCAAGAGCTAACTGTCGCCTTTTCAGATGCCATTTCTGACACTGGTTCAACATCAACTTCAATGAGTAGTGACAGCCAAGGTAAAAAGAAGAAGAAAAAGGGTTATACTGAAAGAGATTTAATTGAAATTGAAAAGAAAAAGTACGAAGTTGCTTTTGAAATCTTTACTGATTTCCTAGATGTCAATGGTGACAAATCTGTCAACATCAACAAACATGCAGCTGACAAGGTCAAAACTCAATTAGATTTGTTTGCATCAGGAGAGAATGAACATCTTAGTGATATGATTTTCGATCCAGTGGAAGGAGAAGTTTGTATTTTGATGCTTGACACCCATCACCGATTCAAGCAAACAGTTGAATTCCAGAAAAAGACAAAGAAGGAATCACTCAAGATTAAACTTCCAACTGTGAGAAAGAGTAAGAAGGCTCAAGACAGTAAATCAGGTCTTAATCTTGATTCTCTCAAAGTTCCTTCCAATAAATAAATATTCGAAACATTTATTTTCCTTCTGTGTGAATCAAGAATGCAAAAGTAATATAAAAACAGTATAATAATCCAGGAACATAACACAAACAAGTTCCCAACAGACAAATCATGACATGCACGCATGGATGACTTGGATCTTGCTCCGACCAAAAAGTTCCCAAGTTTCGTAATTTTTGACGAAACTCTGAATGAAACATGGGGAAAATAATTAGCATGTAGAAGACTGCTAGAGGTGGGAAGAAAAAGATGAGAAAGACAATGAAAATCGTGGTACAGATGTGAAGTCTGAAAGGTTTTTCCGAAGTCATTTTTTTCCACTTTGATTCGTTCACTTTCCGCTGGGACAAACTAATCAGCCATGATAATATTGAAAGATATTTAAATTCTTATATATTATTTACATTTCATTTGATTTCATTTGATATCAATTTAACAAAATTATTGACATCTAGCTCACTGTGAAGTGACAATATTTTTCAGAGCTTCAATTTGTTCTGAATTTGGCCAAGCAAGATTTGATTTACAATTTTTCACATAATATGCCTCAATATCAACCTCCTCAGGGCTCAGATAATATTCCTTATAATGAAAAACAAACAATTGAATCCAATCCAATCGAGTTTTCATTGAGAGGAAAACTTGTCCATCAATGGCATGTTGCAAAACAATTGATAAATGTTCCTTTGATGTTAAAATTCGTTTCCTCTTTAAATAATAAGCAATATCAATTGAAGGTAAGGCCTTAAAATCAATATACGAATCACTGGTTACATTTTGTAAACAATTTTCACTCCTCCCACTTGTTTTTCCATAACTAGTAGTTATCAAATCCATGGTATCGTCTTCAAATAAACTACTTTCACTCATACTCTTGAAGAGTGAATCGAAACTTCCACCTGAACTTAGAGAACTTTCTTCTTTTTTAGAGAAAATACTCAAACTCTTGGGAGAAAGCACATTTGGATTCTTAATCACCTCGCTCATGACCATTTCCGCATTCAAATGATACAAATTATTCTTCAATTGTTGAGAATTTAAAAATAATTTTCTAATACTTCCAAACTTGGTAATAAATTTAAAATTTAATGCCAAATTGGCTTCTTCCGATTGTAGAATATTCTTGTAGAGATAATCACCGTTTAGATTTTTAATTTTGGAGAAGGATTTGGCGAACGAGTCCAATCCTATTAATTTAATCCAGGAAACCACTTGATTGGCATTCCAATCACGTGAATAATTTGTGTCAAATGTCTTGTCGATATAATCCTTTGTTTTTGACAAGAGTTGTGATGATTTGTCGGCTTGACTGCCTTGTTTCATTTTTTAAATTATTATTGTTTGATGAAATTGTGATGGAAAATGTTCTAAAATGGGCCTTGTCAGTTTTCATCAATTATAAAACCAAGTTACCATTTGCAAAAGATTAAATTTCGTTGAATAAGTTTCAGGAATGCAACTGACAAATTATTATTATTTGATTTACTTCAAATATTATTATATTGTAATTTGTAATTAGAGAGCCATGCTGCCATTCTCATCTAGAGTATCGAAATAACCACTTGAATCGAATGGTCTTGTTGTGGACTCTTCTTCGCAAGCTTTGATCATTTTCATGGTGGATTTGTAAAAGTTACTAGTTCTCTTTCTAACAATCTTTTCAATGATAAATGTTGGAATGTTTCCTCTCAAATCTGTTCCAACAAATTGAATGTATTTACAACATGGCTTTTGATTTTCATCTAGTAAAGGTTGAAACATCCAACAACCAATATTGATGGCTTCAATATTTGTTCCTTCATCTGGATCATAATTTGGAATTCTGCAAGACTTTTTTGCAATAATGTACATGTTATCTGTTGTATCATGTACCATACTCTGAGCGAGCAAATAATATCTAGACTTGATTGGCCAACCAAGCTTGTATCGTTCATGTGTTAATGTGGTGGCCAATTTGGTTTTTCCTGATATTGGCGAATGATGATTTGTTTGTTGATGTGAATGATTTGATGTATGAGATCTGGAAGATGCAGTATCGTGAAGGTCAGACATTGCAGAGCTAGTGGAAGAGAGTGTATCCTCATCTTCATCACTGGAATGTACCAGATTTGGATTAAAATTTGTAGTTCCAGACTTGTTTCTATAACCAATTCTCTTGATATCTTCCAAATTCTTGTCGTGTTCAATTCTATTCTTTGTATTGGTCATGATATTCATAATTTGGTCAGCAGAGTAAGGAAAGATCACTTCACACTTGGCAAAGTAAACACCCTTAGCGTGATCGTCCTCACCAAGAATGTACTTTTTTGAAGAAATAAAACCATAGCTTGTTTCCTTCTGATAGATACAATCCCAATATCTGGTATCAAAGACATGTTTCTTGATCATTCTCACTTGATCTACATTAATTTCACACCTCCTCATGTCCATCAATGATTCAACAAAGCACGAATGAGATAAGGCCTTCACCGTACCAATAGTATTAATAAAGGTCTTGCTCTTTGTTGAGATGAATCCTTGAAAGTGATCAGAGCCGACAAACTTTGGAAAGACATATTCTTTCAAGTTGATGAGGATGTAACTCTCTGCCTTCTTTAGGGCCTCCTCACAATCACTCAAATCTATGTAATCCAAAGAACCTAGTGAAACATCCAAATCATCCTTAGAATTTCTATTATTATTATTACTCTTTTCATTATTATTCTTGTTCTTGTTTTGTTTTACTTGTTGTTGTGGTGGTGGCTGATTTGCTTGTTCCAATGATGATCTGGAATTACTACTACTATTAGTATCCTCATCAAGATTCATTCTCTTCCTATGAGCAATTTCCTCAACAACGTCCGAATAGGTGTGAATCATCATATCCTTAACTCTCTGTGGTAAATTCAATTCATATTTCGAGTGCTCACAAAAGAATTGTTCAAATATTGACTGTATCATACTCCACCTATTCGCAGTTGATCTTTTTCTATGAAATGAATTCACCTGATCTAAAAACAACAAACTTTCCTCACATCTAATCGTCCTCATATATTCCAATAAACACTGTCTCGTCTCCTCATCATCTAGCACAGCCTCATACGAAAAGGTATAATCACCTATCGCATCACAACCATGATTAGTATTACTTGCAGCATGAAGTGAATCAGTAGAGATGGAAGTTGTAGATTTTTTTTTAGGAGATTTGGCGGGAAAAAAGTGAAGTCTTCTACCAGGTGATTTGCTGTTCGGTGAAGAAGAGAAAAAATTGGAAGAATTCGAAGGAGAGGAAGGAAGAGAAGATGGTGAATTGTTCATGTCATTGCTTTCAACTGAAGTGATGGAAATGGCTGGACTATTTGGTAGGGAAGTGTTTGAAGAAGAGTTCTTCTTCTTGCTAGTTGAAACCATGATGGGTGTTGGTGGCTATCAATTGGTTTTGTAAGTTTTAGTTCAACAATGTGTTTTGAAAAGGAGTGTTGGAAGTTGTTTTTTTTCAGCTTGTGGAATTGTTAAGTGTCGTCAGTGTTGACAATTGACATTGATGTGGCGCATGGTGGTAAACTGACCGACACAGAGCGATTGCCAAACAAAACTGATACAAGCAACATGTAATGTCCAACAAATTGTTTTGGAAATCACTTTCTTTTGAATAATATTGGAATCATGCTCGTGTGAATATCCTAAACCTTGGCAAATTAGTTTATTAGTTGTGCAGTGTAGCTAATTTACAGATTGTTGGTTGAGGAAAGTTTGGTTTTAGCAAGTTTGTAAAGGAATTTTTCTTTCTCGTAATGGTTGGTTTTGTGAATGTTGATAATGCACTATTCACATTATTCGAAACAAAGCAATCATTCGAATTGTTATTACTACTAGCTTCAACAGGTGGAATTACAATGAAAATGGGATTTTCATGCTGATCTACATTAGTTCCATTTAGAGTTAATGTTTTCTCTGGTGGTTGAACTGGAAAAAACGAATTGGACCTCCTTCTTGCTTGGTTGAGTTCTTGTGGAGATTCAAATAGAGAAATGGTTTCTGGTGGAGTAACATTCGAAATTTCCTGTTCTTCAACAGGTGGACAATCAATTTGAATGGTTGGAATCAAGAAATCACATGTTGTGAGTGGTGTTTGTTTAATCTTTTCTTTCCTTGTTGTTTCTTTCCCATTATTATGTACATAATTCATTGGTGTGGAAATTGTTGTTGGCATGTTATTGGTGGGAACATTGCTTGTCTGCTTAATGTCCATAATCATTTGCTCATAGTGTGCATTCAGGACAATCAAATTGGAATATGGACTAGGAGAAGATTGAGCAAACAAGTCGGTGAAGGAAGAATTTCTCTTATTGGGAGATAATTTTGCATCATGTTGCTTATTGACTGGAGATCGTGGCGGAGAAAGGAGAGAAGAAACTGATTGTGTTAATCTTTCAAAGGGAAGTTCTCTCGTTGTTGGTATTTCAGAATTTTCCTTAGCATGTTTCTTATCCATTGATAATGACGATGAGGTAAAGTGATTGCTTTCTATTTGCTTTTGTATCGGGAGGAACAATTCATCAACATCAAATACTGTGGCCATGTACATTGCATTCATCAAGTAAACAATCATCTCAATAAAGAGGTGGAACATGTTGTTGAGGACTTGTCGTGGCTTGATTGGTCGAATGCTTATTGTTGGTAAGCTCTGATTGCGTATTAAGGAGTGCTCGCACTTTAAAGAAGAGCTTTTCATCCTTAATACATTGTTGGACGTTACTTCTTCCTCTCCAATACTTTTAAATTCGCTGAATGAGGTTGTTGGCACTATACACATTGTGGCTATTTTTTTATGTTCTTGTGCGAGTTTGTTGTGTATAATGGTGCCTTTTCATACATTACAGAGATCATGTCTATTTGCCTTATTTAGACTGTTGAGTTCTTGGTGAGGTTCTTCTGCATATACCATTATTGTTTTTGGAAGAGATTTTAACTCGTTTCAATCTAATACCAATATTTCACACTACTGCTATCTATTATATCATTATGGATCCATTAGGATTGTTAGCAAATTCTAGAATAATTAAGTAATTGTTTTTCCTTGAGGCGAGATGATTTGGCTTGTTTTGATTGGTTTTGTTCTTCGTAGAGTTGAGAAATGTGTTTGTATAGAGTAGACATGTCGAATTGGCTTAATGATTCTTCACTAATCACTCCTCTTATATTTGATTCACATTCCATGAATTCCAAATAATTCTCCAAAATTGAAAAGCATTTTGATCTGTCAATAACATTAATTCCAATAAAGTACGTGAAAATGTACGGGTGAGCTCTGAATGGACAAATGATTTTGGCTGCAGTGAAATCAAGTAGTGCTTCCTCAATCTTGTTATCATCTAAAAATTGAATTCCTCGTTCTTCATAGAGATCACTCAACCTCTTCTCATAATCCTTTGTTTGTTGCTTATTTAGCAACGTGCCACTTGTTGTAATGGTAGTTTCTGGAGTGTCAACTTGAAAATTATCAATATATTTCATGGTGAAAATCTCAACCAAGTGTCTAGACATGAACAAATAGATGGTTGTGAAAATAATATGTGAATCTTGTTCCATATCTTTGAAGAAGACTTTCATCTTGTCCACAATTCCAATCCATCTTGGTGTTTGTTTTTCCTTAATTTCAATACATGCTGTAAAATCAGAAATAGATTTTCCATTTTCTCTCTTTTTAGAGTATAAACTGGCTCTAGAGAGATAGGATCTCAAATGTTTGCCATTCAATTTAATGGCCTCAGAATAGTAATCAAGTGCCTCATCATCAATTTGATTATTCTCTCTAATGACCCAAGCAATATTTGTATACAGAATGCATATATAATAGGTATGAAATTTAGAGTGGAGTGGAGAATTTCTAATAGAGGTGAGAGCCTTTTTGAAATATTCACAAGCTTGATTCATGTAATTTTCTCTGACATTTGGTGCCAATGTTGTGCTCGGATTGAGAGAGATAGAACCCAGAGCATAAGCATATGAAAACAAGGCATAAAATCCAGTCGGATAAAGCTTGCAAGCTTGATCGTAGAGTTTCAAGCTAGCCTCCTGTTGATCATTCACTTCCTCTATTAATCCTCTGAAAAGACATCCGAAATATTCACGTTCCAATTCCCTTTCATTGTCATTGAACCAATAACTTCTTTTTGAGTGATTGAGACCATGTACTAATACTCTTATTGATGAAAGTGTTCTAATAATGTTATTATTATTATTAGACAATTAGAAAATGATGATGAGTTTAATATGTGCATGATGGAATCAATCATTGAATATATTTATAATAATATTATTATTTGTTTGATGTTCAAAAAGCAAATGTTCCGATCATTATGATAATAAATTTGATGATGTAATATTATTGAATAATTCAACAATAATGTACATGAGAATTGTTGGAGTAAAACAAATAACAAACCTATGAAATAAACTCAGGCAAATACTCTTCTCCAAATAAACTTCATAATTATCGGGTTCCAACTCCAAAGCCAAATCTAAATATTTACAAGCTTCAACATAATTTTCCTCCATTCTAGCAATAATTCCCTTCCTCATCAATCTATAGAATTCATTCCTCCTATCCGTAAAATCAACAGTTTCATATTGATGATTATTTACATAGGGTTGTATTCTAGAAAAAGTATCCGTTTCTTCCTCATCACTATCTTGATTCTTAAGAAAACTAAACAATGATTTTGATAATGGTTTTAAATCTCGTTTGCTCATTGTAATTTTTTTAATAATATTTTAAATATATTAAATATTCGGAACAAGAATTTTGAAGGAGTTTTGTCTGGGAGTTGGACTCCATGAATATTTTCTATTAATTTCTCTTGTTCGGGAATATTAATAATATTGAATTTAAATATTGAATTTAAATATTAATATAAAAAAATGTCTAAAGCACCTGCAACGTTTCTCTTTGGCAAAGCAGGTTCCTTCATACGAACCAAAATATTAAAACTCTCTGAAAATCGACAACAAATTGTTCATTACTTTTCTCCCTCATGGATTCCCGCCAATAATTTAAAATTGATTAGTAGTGATGATCGGATAGAAGAAATTTCAATATTAAATAATATTAGTACTAATATTGTTGTTGATCATGAAAAGAATGATGGAAATAATGGAAAGAAGGAGTATACAATCTTTTTTCCTGGGGATATTCAATTGAGATTGAATGATTTTATGAAATATTTGCAGGTGGATTATCCATTCGAGTCAAGCTTTGATGATGATGAAAATGGAAGAGTGATGGAGGTTTATTATGAACATGTATTAGATATATTGTATAGAAAGTATCCAGAAACGAGTGGATTAGTGATTATTCAACCAAATACTTTGGATTTATCGAGTTTTATTTATGAATATGAGAATTTCTATGTGAAGGGAAATGCAAATGCTGTTCTATTCGAGATTTTGGATAATTTATTTCCGAATGAAGGATTTGGCAGAAATGTTGGGGAAAATCAGCAACATGTTCAACTGAATTTAGTTGCCTTTTCGAAAGGATGTGTTGCTTTGAATAGTATTTTAAGTGAAACTGCAAATTGTGCCAATTGCTTGGCAAAGAATGTAAATCATTTAAATGAATCTGAAGATTATTTACATTGGGATGAAAAGCCAAATAAGTTAGTACTTCCATGTTACAAAATTACATTGAAAAAGGAGGGACAACGTAATTTGAATCGAGAGGAGATGGAAAGATGTGTCGGATTATTGAAATATAATGTAAAATCCATTAATTTTGTGGATTGTCATCGATTTATTACTAGTGAGAAATTACTGACGAGTATTTGTAAATTATTAGACGAAAGAATTCATGAAGATGCATTCAAATTCAAAATACATCAAACTCCTTTAATTAATGAAGATAATCAATTCAGAAAACACATCAAATATGAATCTGATCTATTTATCAAAACATTGAAGAAGATTTATTCGAGTGGTGAAAAGAATTCACCATGCCCATTCCTATCATATCAATACTATTATGATGAGTTGGAGGGAAAGGTTGATAGTTTCCTACTTCACTTTAAGGTTCTGACAGATTTTGAGCAATAAATGTTCAAATCAAATTATTTTTACTCAAGTATTATCATGATAATTAGAGAGTGATAATTTGTGTGATAAGCTTTCTGTTACTGGGTCCAACATTGTCCCTCAATTGGAAAGTTTCGTCTACACAAGATAGATCCATACCAGTTTAATTAAACTCATTTACAATGTTGATTGTAATCTTACCAATTATCAAGACAATATTACCAGAATACAACAGAACATGAGAGAATACCGGTACACTCTTGAAACACACATTTCTTTTCCAATTTGCACGTTGAATAGTGATTTTCCTTTAAATTTCAACAACTATTTCATTTCTATTCTAAACATTCTGAAAAAATTAAACAATATGAATAAGATTTCTTTCTGTATTGTCCTTGCTTTGGTTTTCTTGCTTGCCTGTGCTGTTAGTGCTCAACAACAACAACAAGAAAAATCATCCAACTCTGTTTCTCTTTTGAGAGATATTATTCGTAGAATGTATCCTAATTCCTCTGATAGTCAAATCGTCAAGAAATTGTTCCCAAGTATTAGAAAGTTGAAGAAGAAGGCAAGTAAAAAGTTGCTTGATTTGATTTCTTCATTGAGTGATTCACAAGGATCTGATTGTTCAAAGTATTGTGCTGGAAGTACTGGGGATTACAAGATTTCATGTTTGCAACATTGTCACCGTAATAATTTGTAATTATTTCGTATAGTTTGAGCTCAAACTCCATGTACATTTGAAACCAAAAGTGTTAAATAAAAGTTTGTATTTGGCTTCAAACATGGTATAGGTAATGTTATGATTTTGATAGACATTCCAACTTTTGAGGTGCAAATAGTATGACTTTAAAAGCTAGAAAAGGAAAGATTTAATTTTGGTAATTTCCACAATAATTCTACATTTTTTCATGGGTATTCAATATGAAATCTAAACTCATTGGATAAATTTGACGAAATATTGGCAAATGCCTCACTTCTGCAAAACATTGAGGCCAAGACTTTAGTCCAAAATCGTCTTTCAATTCGTAGAATCTTCTCTTCAATGTGGATAAACTGCAATCGAGTAATTTACTTGCTTGATTTTGAGGAAGATGCAACACTTGTAGCATTTCTTTTTTGCTGATTTGTTGTGTCTTTCGTTTGGATCTATTCGAAAGTGGAGCTTCTTTGAAAAAGGAACCAACTGGAGTATCAATTCGTTTCCAAATTATTTGGTTGTATTGTTGCATGGTGGGTGTATTTTGTTTATTGTTCTTTTTAAAGACATTCATCATAACTTGGGAATCTAAAGTTTCGTCTGCTTTCTGATAAGTTGTATTTGGAAGTGTTGAAGTGGCTTGGTTTCTGTTCATTGTTTTTCGTTTAGGTTTCTTTGAAATGTGTTCTGTCTAACATTAAAAAGTGAGGTAAGGTTTCGTATAATATTTTAAATACCTTTTTTAAAATTCATGACATTCCTTGATGCATCCTTAAATGTCAATCTGTCAACTATTATTCATAATTAAACAATTTCAGTATTAATATGACACTTTGGTTAAATTTCAACTATTTCCTTTTCCATGCCATCTCTTCACCTAAAAATCTCCATTTCATAAAAGAAACATGACTATTCTAAACTATTCCAATAAGAATCTTTATATTTACAATACAAACAAATAAATCATCAACAATCCAGTCATAATTGCACTCATTCCCCTCCAAATTACAATTCCAGAGCTAGCACAATATTGATTATACTGTTCCAAACATGAATCTTTACAATTTGTCGGAGTTGACTTGCAATCCAACACCGGAGCTGAATTACTAGTTTGTTCAAAATCAGCACTCGATGACTTGGTACATCTCTCATTATTCACAAACAATGCTTCTGAATCTGAAACTCCGCCAACCCCGAAAACCGTAATGGACATGACCTTATTTGCTTCAATTTGAGTTTCTCCCTTAATAGCAACCTGAGAAAGTGCAGAAGATGTCAAAGTTTGGCTACTCAATTTGAATGCAGAAATTCCTCCTTTTTGGAATGTCCATGCAATATTCCAGTTTGTCTGTGCGAGACTTGTTTGGACATTTAATTTTCCAATGAATCCTAATTTAGTATCATTGAATTTTGAGATGATTGTCCATGAGTAGACACAGCCAAAAGTATTGGTAGTTCCAGAGCCATTTCCATTTCCTGAACTGCCACCACCTGTATTTCCAGAACCACCGCTAGATTGACCAGAACATGGATACACAACTTTATCACCAACTTGCAACTTGGTAGGATCAGTAATTGTTGGATTCAATGAATATATAACAGATAAGGTAGTTCCAAATCTGGAAGCAATTGCATTTAAGGTATCTCCTGAAACAAGGAAATAATTACAAGTGCTGTTCATTCCAGGATTTGTAGGATTGGTTGGGTTGGTTGGATTTGTGCCTCCTCCGCCTCCACCTCCTTGAATTCCACTTGCTGTCAATGTCAGAGCAGGTCTTTGTGGAAATTTGTCAGTTGCAAAAGTTGGATTATTTGGGAATTCACCAATTTCTCCAATGAAATAAACGGATGATCCTGAAAGATTTGGATCTGGAATGTTGGCTACTAGGAGTTGTTTACCTTCAAATTTAGTTCCTCCATTGTTAATTCTCACATCAGCACAATTCATGTAATATCTTAAAAATATTAGAAACCAAACTATTCCATTACTACTTACTCTCTATTTCCAACAGCATTAATCCAAGTCCAAGCAAACACATAATCTCCACTTGGAACCTCACCTGGCAATTTGAATGAATAATTCTTATCCAATGGACATCTTCCCAAATTATCAGCCAAAACAATCCACCTCTTCTGATCACTTCGAGGAGAGATTGCAAACTGACAATGTCCACCACCATGAGGGGCACCACCTTCGATATTGATTGTAACAGTTTCACCTGCATTCCAGGTGGTAATTGAGGAGAGTGAGGTTTTGCCACCACATGGAAATGGTTTCTGAGCTCCTAGGGGAGAACTCATATCGTAATCGGTGCCACCTGTTGGAAGTGTTTTACGTGGGGAGGGAAGTTTCATTTCCATGTGGCAGGAAATTGAGGAAATGAATAGTAGAATGGCAAGTGACAAGATTATGAGATGGTTGACCATTTTTTTTAATGTTATTGAATGAGATATCAAAAACTGATGGTTGGATTTTAAAAAGCGAGAGATGGACCCAATTTAATTGCTTTTATTGATTTCTGTGACTGTTGGCAGCCGTCAATCAGAGAATCTTTCCTTTTAAGAAATTCTCAGATCTTTGAATGGATGTTGATTGCAGAATATTGTGTTTTCGTAACCTTGATTTGCAGAATGGGTAGGGAATGCATTCCATCTCAATATTTGTTTTGTAAAGAGTTTTCTTAATTGATGGACTTTCTCACATAGTTTCGGTTGACTTTCCGAAACCTTCATTGCTTTATTTGAATTATTTGGCAACACAACAATTGTAAATCTACAGTTTTCAATTGATTTATTAATAAATTATTTTACAAATATTCTCTCATCTATCTTCCATATTCTTCAAAAATTACAGAACTATCTCTATTCTAAACCTAATCTCAACTATTCCTCATTCACCACCTTTTCCTCATCAACATTCAAAATAAATGTCAAACTCATCGGATACATTTGCTTAAAAATCGGCAAATGTCTCACCTCTCTAAAATATTGAGGCCACGACTTGAGCCCAAAATTGTTTTTCAATTCGTAGAATCTTCTCTTCAATGTCGATAAACTGCAATTCAGGATTTTTGAGGCGTGAATTTGGGATAAATGCAATACACGAATCATTTCGTCTTGTGAAATGGTTTTGGACTTTCGGTAATCTTTTGGCGCGCTTTCTTTAAAGTATTTTCCAGAGGGAGAGTTGACTTGTTTCCAGATGATTTGGGAGGAGGAAATGGTGTTGGAGAGTGGAGAGGTTGTTTGGGTGTTGGGAAAAGTGGATGACGAAACATGCGTTGTATGGAATCGGTTATTCGAAAGTGAACTATTGTTTCGTTTGGATTGTTTGGTAATGCCGGTAGCTTGTCTGTTCATTTTTTAATGGTTGTTAAATGAACAGAATGATAACTTTCCATTCTTTCTTCTGGTCATAATAGTTTCCTTATTAAAAATATGTCTCTTGTCGTTTTTCCTTAAATGTCAACTAGGTAAAGATGTTGACATTTTGAGAACAGCAGGAACAACAATATTCCAGTAGCTTTGTTGGCTCAATCCTCGGCCTTTGCCAAATTTCATACAAAATTGCAAGTTTACTCCAAATCAGTTTCTAACAAGTTGTTCGAATCAAAATCGAATTAGAAAGGAGGTTTTTATAAAAGCCTCTCATGATGTAAAAGGAGATTGGAAAGGGAGGTATGTAATTCCTCTTGCCTATTTCATGATTTATGTTTAAACTTCATGTTTCCAATAACGATAGACGAAATACCATTAGTACATGTACAAACACTTTAATCTTGCATTCTACTCAGTAGTGAAGAACAGGACAACTATCTGTGCTAATGAATATTCAACAATACTACATGAACTAGACATTGAGGAGGATAGATCCACTAATAGTAAATATAATCTCTGTATTAGTATTGATGTATCAAAGAGGTGAAATTTATGGAGCTCAATATATCTTGGTTGACGCTTTTCGAATAGTTAGTGAGAAAACAACTAACAAGGGCATGTGTTCAATACATTTGTTTCGTTCGTCCAACAATTTATTCATTAATTACATTTAATTACATTTCATGGAATTTTAAATCTAAAGTTTGTCCAATTTCTGGCAAATAAAGTTTCGTCTACTTGTCAACGTAGGTTGATAATTTTCATCTCTTGCACATGATAAGTTACTGCAAGCATGTATGTTGGAATATTTTCAGTTAATTGAGGATGAAATTCAAAGACATTGGATACATTTTCTGATAAATTGGCAGGTGACTTATTTCCTTAAATGTCTTTGGCCATGTTGACATTCCAAATTCTTCTTTCAAATTATAAAATCTTCTCTTCAATGTTGATAATGTACAATTCAATGATTTGGCAGCTTGTCTTTGAGAAAGATGTAAAACTTTAATGAGCTCTTGTTTGCTAATGTCAGTTGTCTTTCTTTTTGACCTAAATTCGAGATCTTTCTCCAAGAAAAATACACCAAAGTTTGTGTCAACTCTCTTCCAAACAAATTGACAGTCAGAAGCTGATTGAATTTTGCCCTTTTTCGTGGATTTTGCTGAGCCAAATATTTGCATTGTCAAAGTGTCTCTAATCATGGTGGAATTATTTACAGAGCTCATTTTGTTTGTTTTTATTATTCATAAAAATATTCAGAATATTCAGAACAGTTATTGCAACTAGGTGCAATGACATCTACAGAGAGGTAACAATTACATCCAAATGTCAAACTGATGTGCTTTGAAATGCCATCAACCACAATACAAAATCTATTATGCTAATTTTGTTGTATTTTTAAGTAATAGAGAGATTTACATGATAGTCATAGATGCAATGAATCACATTTCCTATAGGTTATTCGAAATTACCCTATTCGAAATGATAGTGATTTGATTTCGTACTAAGTTGGAACTAGGGCCAAATATCGCTCACTTAATCAACAGATTTCAAACTAAAAAAACAAGTCAATTTTACGTCTGATGATACTCGAAGAGTTTCTTATTGGAAATAATGAAGAGTCCAGGGTATGAGTTTCTCCAATTCTTCCAATTATTAGTGGATGAATTATTAGCAAGATCAATACACATACAGTTGACACTCCTTCTTTTACTGTCCTGAAAAACCAACTTTGAAATTTGTTGGTGAATCAGAAAGAGGTTCTTTAATTTTATATAGTTTTAGTGGAACAACCAAACTTGCATGTCCAATTTTAAATAGTGAGTCAAATAGTTCTGTATTTTTGTCTATGAGATTGGTTGTGTGCTTAATTGTTGTTTTTTGGATTTATTAATGAAAAAAATTAAATTTTTATATTTTGGAAAGAGTTAAGATTGTGTTTATTTACATTTTATTGATGATTATTGTTAGCAAGTTGGTTTTTTTTGATGGATTGGCATGTGACTGATTTTTGGTCAAGTTGATAATCCTGAATCATTCATTCAGATTTACTCGTTTCGTCATTTGAAGCATTCAAGATAAAACTCAAACTCAATGGATAAATTTTTGGAAATATTGGCAAGTTACAAATTTCATTATAATTCTGTGGCCAACATTTCAAACCAAGATCAGATTTCAATTCGTAAAATCTTCTTTTCATTGTGGATAATGTACATCCAAGTTGTTTACATGCCTGTCTTTGAGTAAGATGTAATACTTTTAAAATTTCTTGTTTGCTAATGTCAGATGTCTTTCGTTTTGTTTTTGGTTCTTGAAAATAATCAATGAATAATGTATTGAATCGTTTCCATACGAATTGTTGTTCGTTCTGTTTGATAATCTTCTTTTTGTTATGTTTAGTTTGGTTAAAAATTTGCATTAATGTGTCATCTTGAATAATATTCGAATCTTGTTGACCTTTCTGAAGTCTACACTGAATGCTCATCTTGTTTTTTTCTATTTTTTTCTTCTTAATATTCTTTTGAAAGCAGTTCTTCAAGAAAAAGAGAAACTGAATATTCAATATTCGTATACCAAGAGATCTCTCCTATAAATGTTATATAACGAAAACAGACTTCTATATGTCCCAATCAATAACAAGCTGTAAAGATAGACAAATTTGGAACATTAATTGCCCTTTTTAAGTTGATGCTGTCAAAAGACATTTAATTAAAAAATTAGAGTTTTTATGATTAAAATCTGCAGTTAGGAGGAATGAAAACACAAGTTATGATTTGGAGATGTTCAAGTTTTGGACATTCCTTTACAACCATTGACAAGAGCTCTGTAAAATAAACTTGAGCACTGACATTTTCAATATTTACATCACAACTACAACAACTGTAGTTCATCAACAGATGAAATCAGGTTCACATTCCACTTTACCCACCACGAATAATACCTTGGAAATTCAAACCCTCTTTCAAAATCTCACATTAATAAAATTTCCCAAACCGGTCACGTACCCAAATTTGAACTTCACCACTGTTTTCTCACAGGAAGAGGATCTCTCTAGCAACGGAAATTCAATTTGCTGAGTAAATAACAAAAAATTACGTCATCAATGATAGCAAGTTATCTTTTTTGTTCTTCTGGAGAGATGAGTAGTGGATACCCATGAGAGAGTTAACCACAGTGATGATAATGATGATATGACCATACTTGAAGTAATGGTTTTTGCAATGTTGTATGAATTCCTATGTGGTTTTTTTGTGTAGATGGATGTGTGGTTGTATTATGTGATCATTCGTTATTGTTTACATACAAAAAATAATAATATACAATAATAATATGGTTGATGATGATAAGCACGATGAAAATTATATGTAATATTTGTATGATTTTGTATGCTTGGGTTGAAACAACTTTATATTAACTTTGTTGTTGGAGAGCAGAAAAATACATCTCCAACAAGTTTGTTGCCATTTGCGAAAAGAATTGTTTACTCAGTATAATATTATGATGTTAGACTATTTACTCCTTTAATTGTTTGATGTGCCTGCTTCCGAAGAGAAATAGATGTGGTTTTGTGGTGGAAATAACATTTGTTTGTGGTTGGTGTTTCCTCCCATGTTCCTTCACATATGGCGTCAGATAATTATTGCGAAATTACATCATGTTTATGTGTTGGTATTTTAGCTAAAATCACATTCATTGATTTAGATTGTCCATGTGGTGAGATTATATGTAATTTGTGTGTGTTGGAGCACATCTTCATCAACAATAACTTCATCAGCAATTACATGATCATTAACCCACAACAAAATTATTTTCGGTTAATTTCTGACATTACATTATAGAGACCCTTTATTTGGAATCTTCAACAACAAGATCTCTTCTGATGAACATGCCAATATCAAGTACAACAACTTGGAAATTTCTCACATAATGATATTTAACGATGATGATGAATAACAACAACAACATGCTGGTTGTATACAATACTCGCACTTAATGTAGGATTTAATTGTGGTGATAACAACGCCTGACATGATTTTGCTTACAATTCGCATACACTATCTAGATAATGTGATATTCCTTTTTATTTGATGGTCAGTTCAAATGTAATGATTGTTCTTTAGATGGTTGGATTCTTTAGGTTTCGTTTAGGCAAGTTCGGTCGTTTAATATTACTTTTGAGGAATAGTAACGCAATGAACATGGTTATTGGCACCACAATTATTCGAACTCGTTATCATGTCAGAATCTATTTTACGAATTAATGATATCTGGGGAATTCAGCAAGGACATGGTCAATTGGACAAGTTTCTTCTTTTGAATAATTCTTCGTTTGGAAGTCATTGAACGATTTCGCAATTTGGATCATTGCATGTTTCCTTCACTTCCTTTACTGTGTTATTGATATGAAAATGTAGCTACTTGCTCATCAAGATTTAAACTTTTAAAACAAATGCCACAACAACAACCATCACAACAACAAGGTGTTAATAATTCGGCGACGAATCCTTCCCTTTTTAATAATAACAATAATAGGCATGGGAGGACTTCAACAACTAGGAGTAATAAGAATAACACGTCACCAATTTCTTTGGTCAATACAAATTTTCAGATACCACCTTCGAATGGGATTATTGGAAATGAGAAGAATGTTTTAATTTACCAACAACAGCAACAATATCAACAGGAACAACAGTTTGGAAATCATGTAATTAATAGGCAGCATTGTTTTCAATTCCTTCAACCAAAAATGTCTGTTCAATATAGCAATACGAATGTACCTTTTCAGAATACTTCACCAACTCATCAACATGTTATTGAAAACAATGTTGATATTGGGAGTAATGTGAACAATACGTCTCCGACAACACAGTCCTACTTTCAATCTATGCCACCAGAGGAATTTAGAGAAATCTTCTTGAAGAAGGTCTTTCTGGGTGAAGATCCCAATGTTGATGTGTGTAAAACGAGCAATGCACATCAACAACAAGCTCCAATTCTGAGTAATAACATTCAACATGTTATTCCATCTTCGAAACCTTCCACTCCACCTAATGGTGTTTCACAACAACATGCACTTTATCCTAATGTACATAATAGTCCTGTTACTTCTCCAACAAGTAGTTTGATAATGCAACATCACCAGCAAATTTCTCCAATACAATTTCAATCCAACCAACATGCAACAACGAATGCAAATACTAAGAATGCAACAAGTAACAATGAAATGGTACCGTTACCACCACAACAATTGGAAAATCTAACAGAACAGCAGTTGATGGAATACATTCTGACATGGATGACCAGTGTAAAGACAACAAATCAATAAAACCATCATCTTGGCACATTACATGTTATCACCACACCACAACAAGAAGATTCTCGGATGAACCTATTTGAGCTTTTTGATTTTAAAGAGTTGATATCCAAACAAAACATGGAATAACAAGATAATGCACAATCTACCATCATGATGTTGTTGGTAGATTTATGCAATCACTCTGAAGTATTATTAACACTACATGACTGTAATTATTTACAGCAAAGGACACTTGTTAATGAACATTGAGACGCACTCTTAGCCAAGTCGCCCTTCATACCGCCAAAAACAAAAAGGTGCGCCTTAAAAAAATGCATAAATAGATGCTTGGAATCTCGCTTTGCAGTTTTCATCAAGAAAAAATAACTGTAAATTATTGAGTTGAACTGAATAATATCAGTTGAATTGATTAGTATATCATAGAAATTGTAGAGAGAAATGAATTGTGCAAAGGTTGAATTTTGGAACAAACTTGTTAGCAGTACTATTACCATCAATAAGCCTGCTTCCGATGTATTTGAATATATTACCAAGAGAGAACATTATCCGATGGGAATGGTTGTTAAATGGGAACCTCTAGGAGAAGGATTGGAATTGGAACAAGTATTTGCAAAGAGATTGGTTTCCGATCCAAATCTTGCCTATGCTTCTCATCTTCAAATGTTGCCATTCAAAGTTTCCATTCTCACTGAAGATAATGTAATGAATGCCAAGTTATGGAAATGGCAAGTATCTAGTCCACAACAAAAGGGACACTTTGTGTTTGGATGGAAAGGAGTCATGGGTTGGAAATATTTCCCTCTCTTCACTGGTGAACACACATTTGAAGTCATTGAAGAAAGTGAAAAATCATGTAAATTAATTCACTCGGAAAGGTTTGGAGGTTTGCTTGGACATTTATTCATGCTCTATCTGAAATTAAGTAGCTTCTGCAATCACTTTTCTGAATTTAATTCAATTGTTAAAAAAAGGTTGGAATAAAACAAATAGAGCCTACTCCTGCCTTTACTTTAATTATTGAATATATTGGAAAAGAAATGATCTTGAAAGGAAACCAAGCAACTGAACCAGCCAATGAATGGTTAAAGACATTTGAATTAATTACAAATCAAAATAGAATTCATGCACAATGCATAGTCCGTTTTTAGAAACATGCTTTCCAAATGAAAATTTCTTGACCAAAGGACCAAATCAACGACACCATTTTCTACAGCACAATTTTTAATTTGTACTGTACAATGTTTAACGTTTCCCAAGTTGACTGCCTTTATAACCAATGCGTTACCTTCATTGAAATCAATTTAACAACTCAAAAAAATAATCATAAATGACCACCAACAGTGGCTCACTGCAAGAACTCAAAGAGTTGAGCACCAGTCAAGTCAACCTTCATTCTCCTGCAGAGTGTTCTTCTCCGAGCGATTTGGCAACTAGTCCACCAATTTCAAGTCCAATGCAACCTCCTAAAAAGTTTGCAAGTGTAAAATATGATTCATCCACTACCAATTCACATATTGCTGAAGAAGGACCTGCCAAGTCCATTACTACATCAATAAGAACACCACGTTCTTCTTCAGTTAAGAGCAAAGATTCAGATGTCATTCTCACTTGTAATACTTGCTTAGGAACTTTACAGCTTTCAACATTGAGAATTTTCAGTTTGAGTTCTCTAGTTATTAATTTAACTTCATTCCTCATTTTGGCTGGTCTAATCATTGCTGCGTTCGTGTTACAATACGAATATAACAATGTGTGGGATAATTTGGATTCTGACACTAACTATTATAGAGAAACAACTATTGCAGCTGCCAGATCTTCAGTCTTTTCCAATTACAATTTAACACTTACTCAATTATATCAAACCAAGTACAATACCTATCTGTCAAAGTTCAGTAACAATACTGCTTACTTTAAAGCACTCGTTCCAGAATCTATTAGAAATGTGGCACTAAAGGGAAAACCTAATGCAGAATTAGAAACCTCCAAAGCCATCTTTCTCGAACAAAGAGCTATCAGACTAGCAATGAATGGAAACTATTCAACTGCCATGATTTTGTTAAATTCACAACAATATCAAACCTATCTTGATGGATATAAGGATGAATTTCAAATCATGGTCTCCTATGTGGATAATACCAAGAAGGATAGTCAGAGTGTAACTGTCATTATGGTTACTATTTCACTAGTAGTCATTTTGATTTCACTTATATTGGTAGTTCCTGTCATTGTCACTTCATTTGTGGCATCAGTCAAGAAGGATGAATCTACTAATAGAAAACTCAATCAAGTGAGAGCATTTCTATTAATGGATACAATGGAACATCCAATTACTAGAGAATTATTTAGAAAACATTGTCAGATTGAGTTGAGCATTGAGAACTTCCAAATTTTGGAAAAGATTTCAGATTACAAAATTTTGTGTGAAAGGAGTTTTGACATTCAAGAATATTTGTTCGAGCTTTCATCTGAAATAAGTAGTGATGCAGGTTCTGATTCAACAGATCACAAGAAGAAAAAGAAGAAATTTAGTGAAAAGGATTTACTTGATGTGGAAAAGAAGAAGTACGAAATTTCGTTCGAAATCTACACAGATTATTTAGATGTCAGAGGTGAAAAATCTGTCAACCTGCCAAAATACATGACCGATAAGGTCAAGAATCACTTGGATTTATTTGCCACTGCTCAAAACGAACATTTGATTGATTCATTATTTGATGATGTCGAATCTGAAATTTGCATTTTGATGCTTGACACTCATCATCGTTTCAAACAAACAATTCAATTCGAAAAGTTGGCAAAGAAGGAAGCCATTAAGAAGAGAATAATCATTTAAAATAGAAATTCTAATTTTTACTTTTTTAAACTTTTTTACTTTAAAATTTTACTCAATTTAGATAAAATTTTAAATATTTACATATTTACTCAATTGGATTTCTATAAATTAATTTACATTCATCAAATAATTATTTGAAAATTATATATTTCGCTTTTGGATTTGATTTTTTAAAACTAATTTCTTCAAATTTGTTATGTGAAAATCTGACACGATAATTTGGCGTCCTTTGTTTTGAGATTTTCTTATTGTTATCAAGTAAGGTTATAGATTCTGGCTGATGGAAAGACATGTTATTTGTCAGTTTGGAATTATTCGAAAGTGGTTGATGTTTCTTCTCTTGTTTTTCTTTCTTTGTATTAGAATTGTTCTTGTTGGAATATTTGTGGCATGTGGAGTTGTTGTTGATCATGATATTGGTTGTTGTTAGATTCTCAGAGTTACATGTTGTTTCGAATGTGAAATCGTTTGATGTATTGGAAAGTTTACTCCAAACCAATCCTAATGAAGATTGAACATTCCTCAGCTCAAGATCAATGAGAGTATCAATATATGCTTCATCCATAATGATACCCTCTGAATAAGATCGATTCGAGCATGCATGTGTCAAGTTATTGGAATAGTTTGGAATAGACGAATCATGAATTGTTTGCAGAAAGTAGTTCAACTCTGGTGTGCACAACCACGATGAATATTGCGCATGCAAACTACTCTTATTTGCATTGCATGTTGTCAAGTTGGCATGTGACATGTTTTTTTCGAATGTTGTGGGGACTCAAATGATTATCTTACAACAAATCGCAGTGTGCTGATTATTATCTATTGCCAAGATAGATGGAAACTTGTCATTTATGTTCAAGCAAACATTTGTCTACTAGATATCAGTGAAAAATCCCATAACTACGCAAATTTGATTTGAACGTTAGGAGAAATGTAACCGACTGTGCCAATTATCCAATTATTATAAATGTCAAAAATTGTCAAATTTGTATGAACGTTTTATTGGAGAATGTTTGAGATTCCAAGTTTCTGCTCATTCCTGATTTGAAACATACTTTATTATTTAGACTTTTGACAGCTATTTGAAGCAAAAGATTTCGGTTCCAAGTGCGAGATTTTCAGAAGAGAAACAAAATTCAGTTGTTTGTTATTTGAAAATTATAAATTTTCCTTTTGGATTTGATTTTTTAAATTCAATTTCTTCGAATTTGTTGTGGGAAAATCTGACACGATAATTTGGCAGGTAATTTTCTTTTGATATTTTCCTTCTTTTTGGGATCTTTGTTTTTATGGAAAGAAGAAGATTCTGGGATGTGGAAAGAAATGTAATTAGGATTCGTATTTGAAATATTCGAAAGTGATTGATGTTTGTTGGTGTCATTTACTGGACAAATGTTGGAAGAAATAGGTGCTGGAGTGGTGAATGATACATTTCTATTAGTTTGCTGACTGGAATTGCTTGCTTTTGTTTCGAATAGAAATTCATTAGCATTGGAGAGTTTACTCCAAACTAATCCTAATGAAGAAGGCACATTTCTTAACTCTAAATCAATTAATTGATCGATATAACTTTCATCTAGAGTTGATACATTTGCTGATGTTCCTTCTTTTGGTGAGACTGGGTTCAAGTCATTATTCGAAAGTTCATTAGAAACACAATCAGGAATGTCGAAATTGAAATTGTAAAACAATTCGTTGAATGCTTCGGCTGCTACTTGCTGAATGATATTGGCTTCTGACATTTTTTTGTTTATTAATTGGAATATGAGAGACAATGAATTTCAATTATGTTACTAAACACCATGAAATATATGATAAAAATATTCGAAACTTGACGAAACCAACTATTTTGGTGGGACATTAGTTGAAGTCCTCTAATTTATGGTGATAACCCTTTTTCGGTTTTGGTAATATTCAAGAATTACAATTCTGTAACAACGTATTAAAGATTAGAAAATGATAATATTAAATTAAAATCAAAGATTGAAAAATTACAAAATGCAAATACTAACCTTGTATGTATTTCAGTGAAATGGAGTAATTGACTTATCTTGACTTGATTTGAAATCATTAGGTTAAAGTTGTTGGAAAGCAACAAGAGAATTTCCAAGATATCAAGTATATCTTCTTGTATCGGTTGGTTTGTTAAATATATTGATAAAAATTTCATAAATTGAACGTGTTGTGAATTTCGTTTGATTCAGGTTCAATTTTCCAAATTAGTATAAATGTGAAATCAACATTTCTCAAGAATAATATTAAATTATATTAACAAAATGTCTTTATTGAATCAAGGTAATGATGACAATTGTAACACCTCTCAACTCACACAAGAAGAACATGATTTTGGTCAATTGTGCATTGAAAATGGAAGTAAATTTCTAAACGAAAAGGAATACGAAAAAGCAATTCAAGAATTCACCAAAGCATTGAAATCATTCGGTAACAGTTCATTCGTTTATGATTTAAGAGCATTATCTTATATACTAAATAAGGAATATGCAAAGGCGATTGAAGATTCCTTAAAAGCAATTGAATTAAAACCTAATTGGGTGCAACCTTATTTTAGATTAGCAGTTGCTTATTCTGTTTCTGGAAACTTGGAGAAGGCAATTGAACATTGTGATAAGGGATTGAAAATTCAACCTCAACACAAAACCTTAATGAACATGAAAGAAGATTTGACAAGTTTCATTGAAAAGAAAGGAAAGGATTCGTTCAGTATTATGGGAAAGGCATCTGATCAAGTTGTGGAAACTTTTGAAAAGAAATTACCAGTCACTGTATTGAGTGGATTTCTTGGAAGTGGAAAGACAACTCTCCTTAATCATATTTTGAGAAATAAGGAAGGATTGAAGGTTGCTGTGATTGTTAATGATATGAGTGAGATAAATATTGATGCAGAGTTGGTAAATCAAGAAAGCTCCCTGTCACGTGTAGATGAGAAAATGGTTGAAATGTCAGTAAGTATTTCCTAATATGGGTAATATGTAATTTTCAAATTAGAATGGATGTATTTGTTGTAATCTTAGAGAAGACCTCCTTCAAGAGGTTGGTAAACTTGCTTACCAAAGAAAATTTGATTATCTCTTAATTGAGTCAACTGGAATTGCTGAACCACTTCCAATAGCTCAAACTTTCTTCTTTCAAGATATGCATGGAAAGATGCTTTCAGATTATACCAAATTAGATACTCTTGTCACCGTTGTTGATTCATTCAGCTTCATGAAAGATTACATGACAGGTTGTCAAATTGAAAATGAGTCAAATAAGGCAAGTCTTAAATCCAGAAATATGGCAGCAAGTGAAACAGATGAGAGAAGAGTAGTTGATTTATTACTTGATCAGATTGAACTTGCTAATGTTATCATTCTAAACAAGACAGATTTGGTAAACGAAACTGAACTATTATCATTAGAAACATTTATAAGA